AGTCATAACTGAATGATTTAGATTGTACTGTTTACAAAAGGCCTGCACTAGATTCCAGCTAACTCTGAATGCTGTTCAACAGGTTCATGTTATCCTGAAACTCTGGAAAAGTGGGTTTAGTGTTGATGATGGTGAGCTGAGAAATTACACTGATCCTGCCAATGCCCAGTTCCTGGAAGCTATTAGGCGAGGGTAAGTGACGTATTTCAATAATGAGTTATAAATGGCACCATTGGTGTCCAATTATTATATACTTTACTCTTGTTACATATATTTATCTGACCAATATATTCATGAAATGTGGGGAAATGTTTGAGATGAATAACATGGTAACTTGTTACAAAAGATACAACTTTCTCTAAGTATGTCATCCAGTGGCAGTAGGGGTCACTGCATGAACTAATGAGTTTAGATTTGTTGTCACCGGCATTAACTGAAAGCAGTGCTCATTATTCCAGTCTAGTTCTGTTGACAAAGGAACAGGGGGGACTCATTCAGTTCACAAGCCTGTTCTACCATTGAGTAAGATCGTGGGTGATCTGTACCTCGACTCAATCCACAGTATTGGCTCCATATCTTATGTAATTTTGATGTGGAGGTGCCGGTGTTGGACGGTGGAAAAGGTCAGAAATCACACAACACCAGGTGATAATCCAACAGGTTTATTTGAAAACACCAGCTTTCAGAGCCTGTCTCCTCCTACAGGTGTTAGTGAGAGAAGTAGTGTCAGACACAGAATTTATAAGTAAAAGATCAAGGGGTCACACCACTGATGAGGATGCATTAAACAAACCTAAGGTGCTGTTAAATCTTTAATCAGTTAGAAGGTTTTAATTGATTAATATGTATATGTAAATCCCCAAATTCCTTTCAAGTCACTGTTCTGAGAGAACTAAAGGTTTTATCAGTGTAAAGAAGAGGTGACATTTTAGGTCCGACAATGCATGTTAGGTGTGAAGCCTTGTTTAGACTCTGTTTGTGTTTTGGTTTGGAGTCAGATGGTTTTGTTTCTAAATTAGGGATTTATAAAATGCCATATTGACTGTCTATAAATTGTGTGCTTTTTGAACAAAATAGAATTTGTCTGGAAATACAAATTCACCCCATAGAATCACATGTTTGGGTGCGTGTGTGGGAGAGAGACAGAAAATGTGTGTGTGTGTGCTTGTGCGTGGCGTACATATTAATCAATTAAAACCCTCTAACTGATTAAAGATTTAACAGCATCTCCGGTTTGTTTAATATGTTCTCATCAGTGGTGTGACCATTTGATCTTTTACTTACAAGTTCTGTGTCTGATGCTACCTCTGTCACTAACACCTGAAGGAGGAGAGAGGCTCCACAAGCTTATGTTTTCAAATAAACCTGTTGGACTATAACCTGGTGTTGTGTCATTTCTGACCTTTAATAACTGTGTCTAAAAATGTTGAGTTCCAAACTTCTATCACTTTTTGTGTATAGAAGTGTTTCCTAACTTCTCTCCAGCATAGATTGGCTCTGATTTTGTAAGGTTATGTTCCCTTGTCCTAAACTCCTTTACTAGTAGAAATATTTCTCTCTACACTTGAAATTCCCTTCAAAATCCTAAAAAGCTCAATCAAGACAACCCTTAACCTTCCATAATCGACTACAGTCTAGTTTAGATAATCTCTTAAATCTAAACTTTTGAATTTTGAAATAAGTATGGAGCTGGATGAACACAGCAGGCCAGGCAGCATCAGAGGAGCAGGAAAGTTGATGTTTCAGGTCAGAGTCCTTCTTGAGAAACCCATTTCTGAAGAAGGGTCCTGACCCAAAACGTCAAATTTCCTGCTCCTCTGCTGCCTGGCCTGTCATTAACTCTGATTTTTTTCTTCACAGATGGTGCCAGACCTGCTGAGCTTTTCCACAAATAAGTAAACACAGTGGCCTCTTGCGGTATTACTTGTACAAGTTATCATGTATTTTTCAGATACATTTGTTTTATCTAAAGTGAATGCATGTTAGTTATGCTTTAAACCAACCTCTCAATTAATGTTGAGAATCATAATCTTCTGATTTTTTTTAGTGGTGTTGCAGTGCAGCTTATTTGAATTCAGGAGAAATATAAGGTGGCCTGTTCAGGCCGATTTTTTTTTTTTTTGCAGAAATTTGTTTGCTATGTTTAATATAGAGTATAAAGTAAAACAGTACAATTCAGTTCCTAAATGTTGCTTTTCATTGTCTGTTGAGTGTCCTTCATTCTACTATTTGCAGTGAGATTCCGCTGGAACTGCGACGACTGGCCCGAGGTGGGCAGGTGAACCTGGACATGGAAGATCACAGAGATCAAGAGTTTGTAAAAACCAGGGCTGCATTTAAGGCATTTGGTGGAGAAGGACAAAAGTTAGGGAGGTAAATGCAGAAACTTGCAGAAATTTTTTTTGTCAATAATTTGAATTGTTTCTACACCCTATGTAGGAACACATTTCAATTCAGTTCACTGTACATAGCTGTACTGAGTGTATGCAAAGCAGCAGTATTTTGGGAAGGTGAATGTTATTGGATTCCAGATATATTAGTTCAGTGTTCTTTTTGGGAATTTGCCAATTGAGGTGGAAGTTATTCTGGTATAACCAAAAGGTCGAGTTGAAACCACTTTGAGAATTCATTGCACTGAACTACTCCAAATTTAGAACTAAAATGCTAGTCCTGCACTGATTGATATTATAGGGAAGATGAGAATTGTTACAACACTGGCTGCTTGATTATATTCAGTTAATGGTGTAAGCAATTTGCTTTTAATTTTCAAATGTATGGCCCCTTTATCATGAGTCAGCTTAACAAATGTTGCCTGGATGCTGCTGTTTGCAACAAGATCTTGTATTAGCACTTCTTCTTTTAATGAAGGAAAATGTTCAAAGATAACAAGAGTAATTGAAAATCATACATTAATTTGTACAAACTATCAAAGATGAGAAATGCCAAAGCAAACTCTCAAAAATCAAACATGTAAACAGCCCAACCTTTAATTACAGGGAGAGAAAACCAATTCTTCCAAAACTTACTAATTAGTCTAGTAGTAGTTGAATGAAATGAAAGTTGTTCACTACTTTCTCTGTTCATATGCTGTGTGGTTGATGCTTTCTGTGATGATGCAGATGTGTTGAAGTTTTTTAGAGGCTGTCTATGGTTTGTAGGGTTCTGACAAAAATTAATCAATGTATTGAGTATTCTAGAAAAGGTGCAAGAGGATGCAAGTGATTTTCTGTTTTTTATTCTTGTGGTGGTGAACCACTGCATTCCACCTGGTAAACTAACACTGCTGTTGGGAATGAAGTTCCGTTGACCGTGAAGAAACAGCAATTATTTCCAATTTCAGTATGCGGTAGCTTGGAGGTGGTACTTCCATGTGTTTGCCCTTGTCCTTCTAGGTTGTAGAGACTATTTCTTTGGCAGGTACTGTGGAAGGAGTCTTCTGAGTTGCTGCCACGGTTTGTCAGTGGTGGAGGGTGTGAATGTCGAAGGTGGTGGATGGAGTGTAAATAATTGGGCTGCTTTGTCCTGAATGATGTCAATCTTCCTGAGTATTTTTGGAACCAGGAAAGTGGAGTGTGTTCTGTCACACTCCAGATTTGTGCCTTATAATTGAGTTACTGTTATTAGTGAACCAGAAGTAACTAGTTCAGAAATAGCAGAACAAGTAGAGAAACAATGTAAGAGTATTCATTCCTTGACATGTAAAAAAAGGTAGATGAATTAAAATGAAAGACTGGTGGAAAGAGCTCCAGGTTGCAAATTTTATGTGTAATGTCTTGCACCATTTCGGAAATGTAACCACAGTGATTTGAGTAAGTAATGAAAATCTACAGTATAATGTTTAACATGACTGCAGTGCCTTTGTACTATCTTTTGTGAATTGTAAAGTCTGCTGCAACGTCAGCACATCCTGCTTTCCATCAGTTATTCAAAGTGGAATGAGAATGTAACTAGATTTGACTGGAAGAAGGAAAATATTTTCATGTTGGAAACATTGTTGCCTTCAACCTCTGTTTACTCTACACTGCCAACTTGTTGCACTGTGCAAAGCTTTAAGACTGATGTGAAACTCTGCATGTGCAGATCTTGGTGTTGCTTCTGTGTGGCTGCTGTGCATCCTGAGTGGAAAGTTCCCAATTGCTATGCCTTCTCGCAACTGTACAGCTTAAAGGAAACATTGATTGTAATCATTACAAACCCATTTGATTAGTACTTACAATATTTGATCACTTATGTTGCTGTATTCAGCAGCAATTTTCATATTGTAATGAACATAAGCCAAAAATGTCCTCCAAAACCAATTTCTCAGCTGCATTGAGGATGTGTGGGGCTTTGTATTTTTTTTTAATAAATATGCAAACATGCAATCTGCGGACAGAGGTAGAATGATCTATGTAATATAAAGTCTAGTCAGACCCCATTTGGAGGTCTGAGCACATCTGGGCACCACACATTAGGATGAATATATATTGACTTTGAAATGTAGGTTTATATCTTAAGTTTACAAGCATGATCCCTGGACTTCAGGGATCAAAGCTGTGAGGAGAGGCTATCCAAGTTGGGCCTGTTTTCTTGTGAATTTAGAAGGTAAAGGGGTGATCTAATCAAAGCTTTCAAGATATTAACAAGAAAAGACAGGATAGATAAAGATAAACTATTTCAACTGGTTGGGGATTCTAGAACTAAGTGGCAGAATCTGAGAATAAGGGCCAGACTGCTCAGGAGTGATGTTAGGAAGAACGTTTATACGTAAAAGGTAGTAGATGTTTGGAACTCTCTTCCACAAATGGCAGTGGATGCAGGGTCAGTTGCTAATTTTAAATCTGAGAGAGTTTTTTTTCCTCTGTTAAGCAAACGTATGAAGGGATATGAGCCAAAGGCAAAGGCCGCAGAACAACCATGATCTCATTAAATGGTGGAACAGCCTCAAGGGGCTGAATTACCTGCTCCTGTTCCTATGTTATTATTTTCCCAATGTCAGGCTATTGCATTTTAAGCCTTTCTCCAGTTTTACTTTTTATTAGTGGAAGTAGCTTGTGTATAAAAAGGCACTGACAATCTGCAGTACTTTATGACTTGTAGTAAAACTGTTCTTTTGCAATTTTTTTTGGTGTTGTGTACATTCAACTTTGTATAAGTATAGCTAAATTAGAGTTAATTGTGACTTGAAAAAATAATCACAAAAATACTTTACAAAAATACAACAATACATTTTCATCCCCACCCTTGAAAGCAAGTTTCTGATTACAAGAATTTAATCCGTTCTTACTTTGGACTAATTACAACTTGTTGTTGGAAAAACCAAAGTCAGAATTTTTGATTCATCATGAACTATGTTCCTTTATCATGAACTATGTTCCTTTATCATGA